CATTTGTATATGAGATGTATAGGTATGTGATTATGAGCATGGAGGAAAAAGAACAGAAGGACACACACTGGGAAGTTAATATAGGTTACTGGTGGTCTGTAGGAGGTGGTAAGCAAGGGGGAAGTTTGGAGGAGGAAGAGAGAGGCAAAAAAAAAAGATGCTTCTCGGGAAGCATGACTGATTTTTACCCAATGTGTACATTTATGTACATTTATACCTGTATGTGCATACATGTTTAAACAATTTCTTAAATAAAATTTAAAAAAAAAAACAGCCGAAACCGGTTTGGCTCAGCGGATAGAGCGTCGGCCTGCGGACTGAAGGGTCCCAGGTTCGATTCCAGTCAAGGGCATGTACCTGGGTTGCGGGCACATCCCCAGTAGGAGATGTGCAGGAGGCAGCTGATCGATGTTTCTCTCTCATCGATGTTTCTGACTATATCTCTCCCTTCCTCTCTGTAAAAAATCAATAAAATATATTTTTTTAAAAAATTAAAAAAACAGATTCTCTCAGAATTTGAAAGGGATATTAATGAGTTTTATATTTTACTCTATGTACTTGTAAATTGTTTCAAATTCAAAAATTATAGTACCCCAAATAAAAACTTTAAAATCCTGGACTTATACCTCATTAACTGAAGCAACAATTTGCTAAGTTCTATCCTTTTTTAATCATCCATTTAAATTTTTCTGGCCATTATTCTTTATTAAAAAATAATACCTTTAACACATAAAAATATAGAGCTTCTATCCTACATAATAAAAGCCTAATATGCTAAGTGTCTGACCCTTCATTCGACCATTTGACCAGTCACTGTGATGCACACTGACCACCAGGGGGCAGACGCTCTGACCGGTAGGTTAGCTTGCTGCTGGGGTCTGGCCGATCGGGGCTGGGCGAGATGGGCTGAACACGCCCTGGATGAATCTGTGCACCAGGCTGGTTTTGGCCTGATCCCCACAGGCCAGGCGGAGGGACCCCACCAGTGCACGAATCCATGCACCAGGCCTTTAGTTTTATATAAAAGTCCTAGCCCTGGCCAGTGTGCTCAGTGGTTGGCACACCAGCCCGTGCACCACAGGGTCTCATGTACAATTTCCAGCCAAAGACACATACCTGGGTTGTAGGTTTGATCTGTGCCTAGTTGGCACATGTGTAGGATGCAACCAATCAATGTCTCCATAGCACCAATATTTCTTTCTCTCTCTCCCCCCTCCCCTCTCCCTTTCAGTCTCTCTAAAAATCAATGGGAAAAATATCCTCAGGTGAGGATTAACAACTACATAAACAACAACAAAAAACTAACCAAAAAAAAAACCTGAGGTGGAAAAACTAATTCATTTAATATTCTGTGTGACCATCCTAAACTATTTAATGCTTCTTTTTGCCACTATATCCTTAAAAACTGGAAATTATTACTTTTAAAATAGCAAATAAAAGAAAATTAGGCCAACACGAAAACCAGAAATACAATCATATATTCTGGCATGCAAAAGTCAGATCCTTTAGACAAATATTCCTGTTTCCTAAAAATAACTACTTTTTACCATTAAATGGCTACAAGTCCTAGAAATATTGTTGACTTTTCTTTCACTATCAAATGTTAATTTAGCATCTCCTTTGTAAAAAGCTGGTGTTCCTTTCCTAAATTTTCAGATCTTCCCCACAGGAATTTCCTGTATTTCTCATAACCAAGAAAATCCACTTATCGACCACTTACCTTATAAGGTGGGCAAAATAATAACGAATGGGATCAAAGAACCTTCAAGTTGGACCATGTCTGGCTGATTAGGGAACCTAGGCTGGTTGCCAATATAAAGGCTCTGATCAGCTGTCTGTGGGGCCCAATCCAGAATGAGCACAGTGATTTTGATCAATGGAGTCTAACCTAGTCCTCTCCCAAGGTCAAAATGTTGTTTCGTGCTTTGGAATTCTCTTGTAATATTTCTCTAATTGACACTATGCTGCAGCCATTCCTGGTGTAAGACATTTGGAAATGAAAAGTGAAACAAATGAGAATTTTCCTTTTTCATTTGTGAATAATTACAGTGATTTGAGTGAGTGCATTTCTTTCAGACAATTAATTGCTCTGGGAATCGATGTCACAAATCGATGGGTGGTGTCTGATTTCATCAATAGCTGCTCAGGGTGAATCTAGCTTCATCAAATGTGAACACCCAATAATGGAGTGACAGTCAAACCCAAAGTGTTCTTGCAAATCATGCTATACTGAAAGAAGAAATATCTCAAAAAGAAATTGAGCAATTTTAGACCACTGAGGTGTGGGCTGCGTCTGTATGTAGGTTGTGTGTTCTAGCAATCTTCTATTAGGCTGCAACAGGCAGCTCAGGAAAATGTACTTCTTTTTCAGTAGAGAATCTGAAAGTGACAGGAGCACAGAGTAGGAGACTCTCCCATAACCTCTCAGCAATAACCTGAAATGTCCTGATGAGGGAAGTAATCCTGGCACTGCACTGCTGCTGGGAAAGAGAAGGGGCTCCCCGGCTGCCTCATCCCAGTCTCAGCAGAAACTAGCACACTAAAGGATGAGAACTACTGCCACTACTGTCTCCTGGATATCAAGACATAGAAAGCTACAGTAATTAAGAGTGGTAACATGGGTGCATGATTACACAAACAGGCCAATAAACAAAACACAGATTCCAGAAAGAAACCTACACATATATGGTCACCCAATTTGTTGGCAAGGTGGCATTGAAGAGCAGTGGGGTTGGAATAGTGTTCACAACAAATGAGACTTGTTTCAAATTGGATGTTTTTTAAAAATTGAAACATTTTTAAGAATATTTTTTAATTGATTCCAGAGAAAGGAAGGAAACACCAGTAAGTTGCAGCCCACATACACTCCGACGAGGGATTGAACCCTACAACCTGGTTATGTGCCCTGACCAAGAAATCAAACCTGCCACCTTCTGGTGTATGGAATGTTGCTCCAACGTTAACTGAGCCACACCAGCCAGGGTGAAACTCTTCCTTTCAGTATGTCTAGATGTGGGTACTTCCTTCTCTCTCATTTGACTCTCTGGCCCTTCGATCTTTTTTTCCTCTTCTGGTCTTCTTTTGTTACTCTAATACTGGCACATCCTCTATCCTTCACCTCACTTAAATCTGCATTCATATTTACTATTTGGTTTTGTTTGTGTACTTTTTTTCTTCTTCTTTCTAAAAGTTTCTCAATCTGATTTTCAAACTCACTAATTCATTCTTCAGCTGTATCCATTCTACTTTTACTCCATTTTGTTATGTTCTTTATTTAAATATTATGTTTTCATATATTTATACTTGGTTTATTTCTTATATTTGTATCCCATTACCAAAATCTTTTCTTTTGATGTTTATTGGCTTTATTTTTAATTTCTGGGGTCTTGTTTGTTGTTTTTCTTTGAACCAGTGGCATCTCTTAATTATCACTTTACTTTGGCTTGTGAACTCATTTAACCTGGTGGTATTATGGGCTCTTCTGAGTGACAGTAGGCACTGGGGAAGAACTGAGGGCCAACCCTCTAGGCCGGTGGTCGGTAAACTATGGCTCGTGAGCCACATGTGGCTTTTTGGCCCCTTGAGTGTGGCTCTTCCTAAGCCTTAGGAGTACCCTAATTAAGTTAATAACAATGTACCTACCTATATAGTTTAAGTTTAAATTTGGCTCTCAAAAGAAATTTCAATTGTTGTACTGTTGATATTTGGCTGTTGACTAATGAGTTTGCCAACCACTGCTCTAGGCCATGTTGGAAGTTCAAAGAGAGGGAAGTAGATAGGCAATACGGCAGGCACTACAAAAACCAGTTAATTATTTCATTTTGTTATCTACCAAGCAGGGCTTCCCCTTCACACCATAGGAGAAATGGCAATTTCCTAAGGCACTTCCAGAGTCTTGAGCCTAGATAATGACCCACAGTCCTATGAATCTGGAGGGGGAAGAGCGAACAAATAATGCACAATCTAGTCAATCCTTACCTGCTTTCCCCAAATCTTGACCCCCAAGAGCTTCTGTACTGCCCTGATTTTAGCTGAGGACACCTGCCCAGAGGTCTGCTTCACTCTGCTAGTACCTGCTGTGAGAAAGCAGGCAAAGGCAACTGGCTTTCTCCAATTAATCCATGCACAGACATTCAGCCATCTGCACCATCACCAAACAACTTCACAATAGCCTCCCATGTCCACCGTGAGTTTTACCTTTTTTTCCTTTTAATTATTATCTAAACACATTTAAAAAACAACATTCTAATCAAAATATAACAGAACTTTACATGGTTTTATTTATACATTACTGGTATTGAAAGCAACCTTTATACAAAAATTTTATACAGATAAAAAAAAATTCCTTGGCTAGGCAAAGCCTTTTAAGTGTATATACACACAAACACAGATACACACACACAAAGTATTTTACATCATTTTAAGTATACATATTTACAGATACACTATTTAAATTACTTTACAATTTACCAAAATGAGGCCATTAGAAAAGCAAATAAAAATATATGAAAACAAACTAACTAATGGTTAATTTAAAAATGCTACAAAACTATTTTTAAAAATCTAGAAAAGAAACTCATTTCTTTGAAATATCAAAATTAAGGTTTCAATATTATATTGTTGTTGCTTTTATCTTAATAACAAATTCTAACCTGTTTAAAAATAAGTTTCTTGACTAATAAGAGATAAGCAAATCATACTGATGACTGGAACAAGCTGACTTGAGAGTAAAGAGTCAGCAATTAATAACAAATGTAGATAATCTAGTAATCCATGTCATAAAACTGCCCTCTACATCCCCATTTAAAACATGAGGAATTCCAAGCTTCTGTGTAGTATGCAGTATCAATTGAGACTCCAAGGAATTCAGCAACTATCTGTAAGAAAAAGCTAAAGTTATGATTCTATTCTTATGATATGACCATTTTATAAGTGTTGTTCTTTTAAATGAGTTCTACTTAGATAATTCTGATGTTTAAAACTAGCTTTTTACAGAATCAGTTTGGAAACCTTATCATTATACTCTGATTTTGAAAAGAATTTAATGAGACTATAGTACTTGGAGGGAAAAGTCAGTTAAGAGACAAACTAGGAATGAAGCAACACATTATGCTATCATGCAAGCAAATAAAATCTCAAGTATCAAATCCAATAAAAGATTTACAATGGAATTTGGAAATTTCAAATTAATAAGCATCACTTCCAGATACAAGTTAATTCTTCCATAAATATACATTATTTTCTCAAGAGAACAGAAGTCATATTTTAAGAAAATATTCAGGTGAAACAAAAGACTCAATTTAATTTCTTAAAGGTGGTGAAAATTTTAAAGCACAGTAAATCTGAAAAATAACCAGGTCATTGTCGCCTTAAACCAGTGATGGCGAACCTATGACACGCGAACTCATTTTTTTGGTTGATTTTTCTTTGTTAAATGGCATTTAAATATATAAAATAAATATCAAAAATATAAATATTTTTTATACTATGGTTGCAAATATCAAAAAATTTCTATATGTGACACAGCACCAGAGTTAAGTTAGCGTTTTTCAAAATGCTGACACGCCGAGCTCAAAAGGTTCGCCATCACTGCCTTAAACTATTTTTAAAGGTTCTTTAGAACAAGCTCTTTCTTCAAATTCCCCATTATTAAATCTCACATTCTGAATTATATAAATATAATTTTAACTTCACAATAAACTACTAAACATCTTCTGAATATCCCAATAGCAAACTAGTTGCTTTGAGAGAAATTATCAGTTTCTAAAGACAGCAATTTACATCAGGTCTAGAAACAGATTTAACAGATTTATAACTCAAATATACCGAGAACCTTTCACATTAAGGTCTATGGCCAAATATGGTTTCTATTCTGATTTAATTTAATCTGAACTTAATTTAATTTAAACTTGGGTGTTTTGCATTTAAATAATCATGACTACAAATCAACTGAAAAATGATATCTTAAATATCTTTATAATTTTTCTTCTATAAAGTCCAAATATTTAAGCAGCTGATTCAGGTCTTACAGGAAAATCCTGCTGAAAAACATTGTTGCCTTAATAAACTTGTAGAATG